GTCAGAAAAATAAATTGTCTCTATCTTCTCATTCCTCAAGCTTTCAAAATAGTTGAAACTGATGCCTCTGACATAGGTTATGGTGGCATTCTCAAACAGAGAGTTGAGTCTCATGAGCATATCATTGCATACACTTCAAAACATTAGAATTCTGCACAACAGAATTACTCAACTGTTAAAAAAGAAGTTTTAGCAATTGTTTTATGCGTATCAAAATTTCAATCTGATTTATTAAACCAAAAATTTCTTATTAGGGTAGATTGCAAGTCTGCTAAAGAAATTTTACAAAAAGATGTGAAAAACCTTGCCTCAAAACAAATTTTTGCAAGATAGCAAGCAATTTTAAGTGTTTTTGATTTTGATATTGAATATCTCAAAGGCACCTCCAATTCCCTTCCTGACTACCTTACCCGTGAATATTTACAGGATAAGTAGAATGCCTAGAAAGGCAACCACCCCTTCCATAGGAGGATCATCTAGAGGAGGAAGAGTTAGGCTCGCCCTAACTCTAAACAAAACAAAATCAAAGTCTGTCACCACAGACTCTTGTTCCAATTCTTCAGAGTCATCCACTCCAGCTAGGTCATCTACCCAGAAAGCCATCCAGATTGTAGAGTCATCTACTCAACAATCTGTGATTCCTAAAAAAGACTCATCCAACAAGGCTGATTCTTCCTAATCACAAACAAAAGTGTTAAACAAACCAAAGCAGATTATGCTTTCCCTGTTAATACACTTCTAGCCATACAGCAAGGAAGCCTAAACTGTTACACCCTTACTACTTACTAAGCAATGAATATAAATATATTCATAAAATAACCAAGCAGTAAGAACATCACATGCATGGGTCTATATCTATTCAGATATAGTGAAATTAAATACACTACCATTACTAGAAGTATTCATTTCATATATACACATCATCTGTTAATTTATACAATCATCCAGTTATCTAAATATATACATAACTGAATTACATACAAACTAAAGTGGGGTCACGATATCAAAGACGACAACCCAAAACGAAGACCTCACGAGCTTTCCCCTGGATCCATGATCACCAAAGTGCCCATTTCCTCCCAAAATTCAACAACGGTAAGGTTAGGCTTCCTATATACCCATTTTTCTTTTCAGTCAAAAGTACTTACACCTACGTATATGTATAGATTATTCCTTACTCGACTCTATCCTACTCTCCTTTTCCACTAGATTCCTACTCAGAGGAGGTAAAATTAGGAGGGAGTCCTGCTTGAGAAGCAGTCCTCTTCCTTCCGATAGCAGAAGAGGTGTTTGCACAGTGAGAAGAATCAGGAGAGTCTGAAGAACTAGAGGAAGACGAAGAGGAAGTGGATGAGATAGAGATAGGTCTTGCTAAAAGTGTGTCAACTAAACTAGTTCGTTCAACAGGTGGTAAATATGGTATAGAAAGACGTAAAGGTCTAAGAAAACCTGGGGGTAATACCGGGGGTGATAATACAAGAACAGGAGGTGGGGTAGGGGGTCTCACAAATTGTACATCTGGAGGAAATGGAAAAGTAAGTCTCATGGGTACTCGGATGGGGATAGGGTAAGCTCGTGGGCCTGGGCCATTTCTATCTAACAAAAAGGTAATAGAGCCAGTGTGGGTGAATCGTTGTTGCTCCCAGTCGTGCACCCATGTTCCCTCAGGATCATATCTGATCGAGACGCTGAATTGGTACGGTGGTCCAGCCATCAATGTTCTCACCTAATAAACATATTCACACACAACACACATAGCAATAAAAGGGTGAGGCAATTTAATTCAATCTCCAGCAGCAAAAGACATATAAGGGTTTCAATCACACAATTAATTATCAACACCCATAATCTACCAAGCAAATGCATATGCCATGAATGAGAAGTGATGCAAGTCCATTATTATAACTTAGTACATTTTGACACATGCATGTGGGCCCAAAACCATCAATATGTTTCTTTTACTCAGGGAAGGATCAGGAGTTTCACTGTTACTTATCTGCCAACTTTGTTCATCTCATAATACAGTAACAGCTCTACTAATACAAGAATCTCTCGGGACCAGTCAGGATAGTAAAGTTTTGCAGTGAGAGTCTACAGCACAAGATGGCGAGCCTTGGCCACTGTCAGATTCAATCACACGTCACTATCCCCAAGACTACCCTGGAGCCGCCCCTAGATTTCTTATACTTCCCTGTCCACTCATCACACTATCACATGTTCATGATGCATGTCTTCACTCCTAATTAATGTAATTAGAGAAAAACTTTAATTTTTCTTTTCTGTTAAGTACAATCCTTAACTTTTTCTTTTCTCAATAAAATTCGACAAAGTCTCCTCTGTAAATCAGATATTCCAAAATTTCCTTCTTCCTGTAAAACAACCAGAAAAAATCCAGAATACTTCTAATTCATTAAATTCCACCTCCATCATCTCAAAATCCATGGAAATCGTATCTTCCCCTCTTTCTTTAAATATGTTTTTATGCTTAAAAATTTAAAACTTAATCATTTTAAAAATGATTCAAGCCTTCCAAATATCCAATACTACTTTCTCAGTAATATAATTTATTTATTTATTTTTATTAAATCTATTTTCAAAAGAAGTCAAAAGATACTTGTACTATATATAAAATACATAATTATATATATATACCTTAAAAACATATTTTCTTCTTTCCAACAAGTCTTAATGGACATTTAGATTATATCAATCTATATGCTCACACCACATGAAACTATATTACTTCCAATCTTTACTATTATATGGCATTCCTACCAACAAGAATATCTACACATGCACATAATGAGAATTCAACCAATTATAAAGAAATATTTCAATACAGCACTTCAACCATAAATCATTCCATTACATTAATTTAAATACACAAAAGACCTTACATATAAGGGAGAGTCCTTGTTCAATCAATTTCCTGGTCTAAGGCAACCTTTCACACATGTCAAGTGCTATAACAAAATCTTCTAAAAATTATGGGATAGCTCTAAAACAACCCAAATTCATTTTATTTGATTAGAACAATAGAGAATCATTCCCTTATGGTTCTTAATGCCACCTATTGAAATAAAATTATCCCACCCCTTACCTTACGGATATTCTTTGATGAAGATATGAATGAATTTTTTTCTGATTCTTTAGAAAACTCGAACAATCCAATCTTCGAAACGATCAACCTAATCAATTAATCATGCCTAAACATAATTAATACTAAGGAGATGCTAATTTTATACTCTTATATGTATATGTAAAAATTGAAATTTTCTAACTTTTGCTATAAAAGTCCGATTAACACAAAATTAGTTTCTATGATCTAACTAATATAAAAGAATAAAATGGAATTGAAAAACACTCACTTCACCTTCTCTAAAACTACATGGCAGCCAACCCTTGTGAGGGTTTAGTGCTTTTTAATCACATTTTTGAAAAACTAATTATGTAAACAATATAAGCCATGCATAGTCTACATATAGTACAAAAGAAAGTAAGTTTAAAAACCAATAATTTTGAAGTAAAGTAAGACCCATTTTTACTGTTCATGACAGCCAAAAATAGAAAAAATTTAAAATTTTAATCGGATGAAATGATAATTAACAACTAATTAAGCTTAATTAAGGATATATATTAAAAACATACCTTAAAACAAGCTTAAATGAGTGGAAGAAAATGAAAATGGCATAAGGGAGAAGAAGGGGTTATGGACTTGGAGAAGAAGAAGATTTACGTAAGAAATGGTCAATTTAGTCAAATATATAAAGAAATAATAATATAATAATCAATTATTTTACTATTTTAATGTAATTAAATAAAATAATTATGAATAAAACTCAAAAATAAAAATAATTTATGCCAAACAATTAAAATAATTATAACATAATTTTTGACATCAATATCTCTTTGGTTATCACTTAAAATGAAAAAGAAAAGGAAAAAAAATCACACAGTTCCTGTGAACACATAAAACAGTATTTACCAAAAATTCAAAAATAAGCAATAATTACCAAAATAATTATTTTTACACTCCAAATATTATTTCTAATTAAAATATAAATTTTTATTATTTAAAATAATTCTTCTAGATTAAAAATGCTATTTTTATCCTCATAGAACAATTTTAACCGGTATAAACGAGCATTTTTATTTTATTTTTTTTTATTTTTATTTATTTTTTTCAAAAATTGAAGAATTATAATCTAAATTATAACTATATTAACAAATTAACTGTTTAGGAAAAACGAGGATGTTACATAAATACCCTACCAAAGAAATCTTGGGCAGACATTGCCTCTGATGAATACATGGAAATTGATTTAGCAAATCTAAACACTATTATCCAGTCCTTTAGTCAATCTCAAAAGACAATAAGTCTCCCTGATAAAACAAAGAAAGCTATTAGCCTTCAAAAGGGGAAAACCTCAAATACCAATCATTACATGGCAAAAGGAAAATTGGGACCCGAATTTTGGGACAAAAATCCATACAAAGCCATCACCAAAGCATTCCCTCCTGGTTTTCATTTTAGACCATATGCCTTGAATAAAACCAGACAATTTTATGAGTTCATTTTAATAGATTCAGATTCCGTCTCTATTTAACATTACAAGGATCAAAAAGATCCTTCAATAATCACTCATTCAACAATATAGATTTTAAAAATTTTGTCACCTAAGAATTTTGGAAAAGATCCAAATACATTCAAAAAAATTTTCTAACCTTTTGATCCGGGAGGATATAATTACTGGGACTACATTGATGCCTGGACAAGGACTTTCTAGTTTCAAAATAAACTCAATCGACACTCTTGGTTGATTTATTTCAAGAAGAATCAAAATTATAATTTTCCTAACTGGTTCCTTCAATGGTGGGACTTTTTTGGACCAATAGAAGCAATCCTTCCATCTCCAGTAAAAGAAGGATTTAAAATATTCAAAAATAGATATGCTCCCAATAGAATCGGTGCAGATCTCAAATATTTCTCTGCATTTGCTATGGCCTGGATATTCTCATGGCAGTACAGGTATAGCAAGACAGAAGAAGATGATATTCTTCCCATGATTCACAGACATGCTTTTGTGAAATGGTGGAACCAATTCAATGCAAAACATGCAGGGCCACAAGGAGTTAATGAATTTTTTGGAAATAATCCAAAACTCTTGAGGCTCGCTGATCCAGTTACTTTCAAATTTCTAAATCAGAAAGCAAAGATTGCCGCCTTCCTATCAGGATGTGATTCTAAAGATAAAATGAAGAAAAACTTAAAAGAAGTTCTTCTACTTCTGAATCAAGATGAGGCTGAATCTTCTACCAAACAAAAGTCTGATCCTAACAAAGATGATGACTTTTATCAAAATGAAGATGATTGTTTCGGAATAGACATACAAGAATTATGACCTATTCTGTAGAAACAGTTCCAGTTATATACCGGAACTATACAAACAGTATCTTAATTTTTTCTTTATAAGGAGGCCTCGACCATGTTGTGAGGTACCCTTTTAGTAAGCAATCTTAGAAAGAGAAACTAGTGAGAAGTGCTCTGAGAATATTTCTTGTAAGCTTTTCTCCAAGTTTTCAATAAGAAGTTTGTTGTTTCTAATTAATTCTTCTCTCTTCTCCCTCTGAGCCGGTTCTGTTCGGACTACCGTCATCCGGCTTTCTTCCCTTCTCCCTCTACTAGATCTGTGCTGGTTCTACCGCCGTTCTAGTTTCTTATGTTTTAAATACTGCATTTATTTTCTGCATTTTTCATACTGCATTTCATTTAGTAGTCCTGCTACTGCCTATTTTCCTTTCAGTTTTTATTTTCCTTTGATCCACCTATGAAATGCAGTATGAAAAATGCAAAAAATAAATGCAGTATTTAAAACATAAGAAACTAGAATGGCGATAGAACCAGCATAGATCTAGTAGAGGGAGAAGGGAAGAAAGCCGGACGACGGTAGTCCGAACAGAACCTCAAAAGGTTTAAACAAAGGTTTTTCTAATTGAGGTTGAGACGATGGAGAAGCCATATCTTCAACTTTAGGTTTGACAGGATTAACAGAGATTTTTTCTCCTAAAACCTAAAGGTATTTATTGGTGTAATTAGCCTGTTTCATGAGGCCTTGGATGTCATTAGGAGTGATAGACTCGTCAGGGTTCTTGGTTTTGAAAGGAGTAGCAGTAACAGGGTTACCGCTTTTGTCTGAAAATCCAATCCCTTTTAGATAACATCCAATCTTCCATATGTTCTGACCTTCTCAGCGCATTCTGGAATAGGAAGAAGCACATTGTTAGTCTTCCTTATGAGTCAGGTTTTAAGGATAGTCAAATTCCCACCAAGGCTAGGCCTATCCAGATGAATGAAGAACTCCTTCATTACTGTCAGAAAGAGATTAAAGATCTCTTAGACAAAAAACTCATTAGAAAAAGTAAGAGCCCTTGGTCATGTTCTGCTTTTTATGTTAATAAATCTGTAGAAATAGAAAGGGGTACTCCCAGACTAGTTATTAACTACAAACCCCTTAACCAAGCTCTCCAGTGGATTAGGCAACCTATTCACAACAAAAAAGACCTCCTTTAATAGATTAAACTCTGCTAAGGTCTTTTCTAAATTCGATATGAAATTTGGATTTTGGCAAATCCAAATTTGTGAAAGTGATAGGTATATATATATATATATATATATATATATATATATATATATATATATATATATATTATTAAATATATAGACCTAATTAATTTTTCAAAATAAGTCAAAAATTTACTAAATATAATTAAACTATTGATTCAGTCACTGAATTATTTAAAATTTTTTCTGAAATTCTTATATTAAATAGAACCCTAATAAAAATATCCATTTAAAAATTTAGACATTTAATTACAAACACTTAAACTATAAAAAGTTATTTTGCAATCTCTAAATAATTAATCTACACTATAATTTTAATATGAATATATTTTTCAAGGCCTCATCTTTCTTTTAAGAATACTCCACTAGTTAGTATTATCTAATATTAAAATATTATTTTGTAAAAAGAATTTTTAAAATTACTAAAAGAAATTATATTGTATGAAATAAAAAAATTTACTTTATTGTATATCATTATATTCATATTTTTATTTTTTATCAATTAAGATAATATAAAAATTCTATGTGAGATATAAATACTTATTTTAATTATACTCAATTTTATCTTAAACAATATAAACATAAACTGTTTTCTTATGATACTGAAAGTAGATGAATTAGGAAACTTAAAACATTGTATATTGATTGATTCTAATTTTATTTTAATTTAATTTTTTATTATTATATTCAATATTAAAGTATTTTTGCTATTTTACCTCAAATAACAATAACTCGTCCTGTATTCTTAAAATTAAGATAAAGATAAATTACAAGATACTATTTAAACCAAGAATGTTGATTCAAAAGATAATGGTAAAGTTTATTTTCGAAAATTTTAAATTTTAGGAAACTGAAAAAATAAAAATTAAATAGGGATTAGAAACTAATTACTAAGAAGTAGTCTCGTAATAAAGATTTTTGAATAATAATGTTAAAACAATACTAAGAATAATTCTGATAAAAAAAAATATTAATTATTGATTAATACAGCTTGAAGAGGCAAACGACATATTGAAAAGATTCTGTTCATTTCTTAATTTTTGAAAAGTTAAACCTCTAATGGTTACCTAAATTTCATTTAACAAGTAAGCCATTCAAGTCAGAACTTAACAAATTGTTAATTCGAATCAACTCAGTAGATTAGCTCACGAGTTGACTCACCAAAAATATCATAATAAATTAGTTTGATTTCCTTAAATATCTTAGTATTCTAGAGATATTGAGTTAATAAGACATAATAAAATATTAATTTATATTAAAACCTACGCATTAACAGAAATCAGTATATAAAAAAAATGAAAAACATTACAGAAAAAGAAAGTATTTATGCAAGTAAGGTCACATATATGAAAATTAGTACGTACACACACATAAAAATTAAACTAGGCAAGAAATAAATCATGTTTTATATAAAACAAAATCTAAAAATATAATCAATTTTTTGCATGTCAAAAATAGAAAAATGGGATTGTAAAAATATGTGATGAAGTCTCTTTTCTTATTTATATATATAAATACAAACTTAGGCATGTGTATTTTGGTAAAAAAAGAAACTAACAATTCATACATTGGGCCATGTAGATGCATTGAAATTAAACAAAAGTTGATTTTGGTGAAGGAAATTTAACATCCTAGATCCATGTTTTCTTCAAACTGAGCCACGAATGCTCTGTTATATATGTACCCATCATCATTGCAAGTTTAGGACAAAGTGAAGTTCATGTATGGGTAAATAATTATATAGCTCTAAGTTGATCATATTATATTAGTGTTTACGGTGAAAAATGACAATTGTAAACAAATAATCCAAAGATCAATCTGGGGACTGGATTTAAGTCCTCTTTGGGTTCTTTTAAGTGTGTTGTTAATGTGATGCTCAAATTAACGGCGTAAAAGAGTATTAAGCAAGAATAGTGAATAATAAATGGAAATGTAAATGTTCTTTACAGAAAAACGCTAAATAGGAAATGAATTGCAATAATTGAAACAAGCATCAAGCTGGAAACTAAATGCAGAAATGTAAATGCAAGAATGTAAAGGTACGTGAATGTAAACGTACGACTCCTAGCAATGAACAGCAACAACCGTTATGTCTCCTTGTAGCTGGTGTCTGGCACGGTGCAGGGTTTCAGCGTCTCAGAGAGTTTAGGTGCGGTGTCCGGGTGCAAAAAGTCGTCCTCCGTGAAATGGTGCTTTGGAGTATTTATAGACATGAAGATCACCACCGTTTTCCTCCTTTTGCGGGCACTTCTTAGTAACTGCCTTCAGCTGTTGATGCTCACTATCCACAATTGTTTGTGATCATGCTGTTTGTTGGGGCTGTAACCGCTATCGCCCATGATCTCCTTTGCGTAGTGGTGAATGTTGATAACTACTAGTAACCGCTTTTGGATTTTTCAATACTCCTATCTTTCGAGTATTTCTGAGAGAAACCTAGGAGACTCTTTTAACGTTATGGCCTTAGAATAGTTTCTTCTTGACTTCTCTTTTCGAGCCATCCTGGAGTTTTGAGAGTCTGTCTTGGTCTTGTGGACTTAGAACATTTTCTTTGCTCATTTCTATTTTTCGAGCAATTCTGGAGGGACTCTGGAGCTCGACCAGATTTGTGGACTTAGAATATTTTCTGACCACTTCTTATTTTTCAAGCAATTCTGGAGGAAATCTGGAGCTCAGCCAAGTTTGTGGACTTAGAATATTTTCTTACCACTTCCTGCTTTTCGAGCAGTTTTGGGTGTCAGGTACTTGGAAACTCCTCAAATATTCCTCGAAAAGCCATCAGTTTTTGTGGACTTGGAATATTTTCTTGTTAGTCCTGTTTTTGAGCAGTTTTAGGTGTCAGGGACTTGAAAACTCCTCAAAACTCCTCGAAAAACCATCAATTTTGTGGACTTGGAATATTTTCTTGTCAGTTCTATTTTTTGAGTAGTTTTTGGTGTCAGTGACTTAAAAACTCCTCAAAACTTCTCGAAAAAGCCTTTAGTTTTGTGGTCTTAGAATATTTTCTTGTCTTTCAAGCAATTTAGAGAAAAATCAACAATGTGACAAAAATCTCCTAAAATAGCTCGAAATGTGTTCCTTTTAATTAAAACCAAAGATCTTCCAATATTCTCTTATGTTCAGGCTTATCTTTAGCTCCTTCTTGACCCTCAAAACTTGTTAAAATGTAGTTTCCTTCACGATGATTTTTAACTTAGAAAATTTTCCTTATCCCAATTAGATAACAGTATAGATGCAAGGAAGAAAAGGTGCATGGATAATCTGAACGAAGATAAATGGGTTCAGATGCAAGGAGATGAAGGACAGTGCATAATATGAAATTGGGGAAATAGCATATAATTTAGGCTCCTTCTATTAAAAAAAAAAGCCTTCACTCACTAATATGTAGTTTATGTTAGATACAATGAGCCATTCTTTCTATACAAATTACAAATATATAAGGGAATAAATTGTCTCATTTTCTAATACTCCTAAATGGAATAAACTGATCAGAGTGTTCTTCATTTCAATTAATAAACATGTAAGAAATAAATTTTTTTTAACGAATTATACATTATTCATACCTTATCTATTTGAAGTTTGAAAAAAATTTCTCTTTTTATTTTCTCTGTCATTTTCTTTGTATTTTTTTATTCCCTTTCAATATGTTTTAATTAACTTTTTTTAAAAATGGTTTGCTTTTGCCTTATTTTAAAATGTATTGTAATCCTTTATTGCTGCTAGATTCTTTTTTCGAGTTCTAAATTTTCTTATTTTATTGTATTTTTTCTATGGTAAATTTTTTAACGACATTATTTTGATATTTTTAGTAAATAAATTTATTCAAAAGACTTAGAAGGTTCTTTCTTAATAAATTTATAATTATCAACACTATTATTTAAATATGACAATAGAAAGTTATAACTGCAAAACTAATAATTAATTTTTGTAAATGTCATTTTTTAGTTACTACTACCATCTTTCCTTTTTCTCAGTTTGTATTTTTATGAAATTTCATTTAGAAATTATTGATATAGCCTTTATTGTATATTATAATTTATTTTTTATTTGAATACATTCTATATTTTACTAAATATGAAATAAACACATTAATAATAACTGTCACTTTGAAAAAAATATTAACTATCAATCAATATAAATTTTCAAACAAATTTTTCTATTTCTACAATTATAAATAAATTTATAAATTGATAAATCATAAAAATTTATATGATAATTTAAACCATGAATAAATCAAAAGATAATTTAAAATTTATATGATAATCATAAAAAATAGTCAAAAAATTATTCTGTATTTATAACTATACGTTCTTATATAATTGAAAGATCTGTTATGAAGTCAACAAAATCATTCCAGTACATTTTCATAATTATAAAACCGCATTCATTTTTTTCACCCATTTTTTTCTTGTTTTTAGTATGAAGTTATTTTTATCTTATAGTTTGTTTTCTTTGGTCCATATTTGAATCTATCAATTAATACAACACTGATAACTTTTTACTTACATACTTACATGTTAACATAAGGCTGCTTTTACTTTATATTGCAAAAATCAGTACCGTATAGTTTATAAAGGGCCCATAATATTATTAAAACAAGGCTTTTGATAATCATGTCATCTTTAATCGTATTTTCTTCTTCCAAACATCAAATTATATGATATTTTTAGTTTTTTAAATGTAAATATTTAATTTTCCAAATATAAATCAAGGTAATTGTGACAATTATGCTAATTAAGGTAAATTTTAATATATCGTATACATTATAGGATATTATAAATTAATTTCGTGCAATTTGTTATTTTTATTTGAATATATCCTATATTTTAGTACTTACGAAATCAATACATTAATAATTTGCTATCACTTTATATTGCAAAAAGCAATACCTTTTAGTTATAAAGGGCCCAAAATATTATTGTATAAAATAAGGTCTTTTAAAAGCATGACATTTTTAATTGTATTTTCTTCAAAACATCAAATTATATGATATTTCTAATTTTTCAATGTGAATATTTAGTTTTATAAATATAAATCAAGGGAATAGTGACAATTATGTGAAGTAAGGTAAATTTTGATTTACATATATATATACATTGTACATAAACATTATCCGATACTATTATAGGAAATTGTAAATTAATTTCGTGCCCGTTATTAACTTTCCTCTGTTGAATTTGATTTAGATGGCAGACATTGGAGCTGAGTTGGTAAAATCAATTTTAGATAGATTGATGAACTGCGCAATAGCATAATCACGTTAAGTATGCTGCTTTTCGGACATTGTTGAAGACATTGAAAAGGAAAAGAAAGTTAATAAGAAAGTGTAAAAGAGGAAATAAGAAAGGGAAACAATATTCGAACAGATCTCACTTCTTGGCTAAAAGAAACTGACGAACTTATTAACGACACTCAGATGAAAAAGACGTGCTTTTATGGATGGTGTCCAAATTGCAAATGGAGATATAGTAGGGGAAAACAACTGGCAAATAAGAAGGAGTTGAAAAGTGGCAATGTTGGAATTTCCCCTAAACTTCCAGGTGTTGAGTATCATTCTTCTCAAGATTACGTTTCTTTTGAGAGCAGAAAATCGAAAATCGAAGAACTTCTGGATGCGCTGGAAAATGACAGCAATTTTATAATTGGATTGCAAGGGATGGGGGGAACAGGTAAAACTACGTTGGCAAAAGAAGTGGGTAAGAAACTTAAGCAGTTAGAACAATTTGATCATGTCATTGATACTACGGTGTCATATACTCTTGATATAAGAAAGACTCAAGATGACATTGCTGCACCCTTAGGATTGGACTTCAAAGATAAAAATGAATCAGAGAGACTCAAGCTTCTTTGGAGTAGATTAACCGGTGGTGCAAAAATTCTTTTGATATTGGATGATGTGTGGAATCCTATCAATTTTGATGAAATTGGGATTCCAAGGAAAGACAATCACAAGGGTTGTAGAATCTTTTTAACCACACGTGAAATGAAGGTTTGCCAATCAATGGGATGGGAAAAGATAATTCAATTGGGGTTTTGTTCCGGGGAAGATGCATGGACCTTGTTCAAAAAGCATGCTCATATAAGTGATTGTTTCTCTAAACGTTTGTTGGCCAAAGAATGCGAAGGGTTACCCGTTGCAATAGCAGCCATTGCTAGCAGTTTAAAAGGTGAACAACGCTTGGAGAAATGGAAATCAACTTTAAAATCCTTGCAGAAGTCTGTGCCTATGCATGGTGTTGATGAAAGTTTGATTGAAGTTTATAAATGTTTGAGGTATACTTATGATAATTTGAGGAATGAAGAAGCCAAGAAACTATTCCTCTTATGTTCACTGTTTCCAGAAGATGCAGAACTTTGAAGTCCACAATTGCGGTGTCTCGTTGACATTACACATATTGATTCTCATAGACAGAGTTTCTTCTCCAAGTTGATTGAGCTAAAACTCAATCGCATGGAAAATTACCAAGAACTATTCAATGGTCCCTTTCCCTTTGACTTTCTAAACAATTTACAGGGGCTAGTAATCTCGGATTGTATAAATTTGAGAAGCATATTGTTTAAGAGCAAGCTAAACCTCTGTTTTCTTAAGACCATTGAATTGTACAAATGCCCAAAATTGGTAACCCTAATTCAATTGTCAAATTGTCAAAGTCTCTTGCTTTTGGAGAAACTGTCGATTGTGAACAACTAACAAACATAATAGCAGATGAAAGAGTAAATGAAGAATTGAAGGAAGAGATAGTTGATGGCGAGAATGATAACAAGAGTTGTGACTCGATGTTTCCAAATCTGAAAACTCTAAATATTAGCAAGTGTCCCCAATTGGAATATTTACTTCCAACTCTTTCTACTCAAGTTGTTCCATTGCTAGAAACTATCATAACGTGATTGTGGTGCGCTGAAATACATATTTCATCAATACCAACACGAACATGCAAGTCATCGAGATGGAAAGGATATCATACTTGGCTCACTGAAAGAGGTGCAGTTCTCTGGCTTGCCAAATTTCATTGATATTTTTCCAAAATGTTGTTCCATTTGTTTGTCAGGGTCATCTTGTAAAAACGCAATAGAATCAAATCCCAATAAATGCAATATTTCTCCTTGGATCCATATGTGTTGTCCTCATAAATGCAGACGCAAAGTCAAGAGTACCATACGTACTACAATTCCATTGGTTTCCAATGAACCATTGCAAGATAGTTCAATCTCATCAGTAACCCTCTTTAACTTTCTTGTGTTATCTTTTACGTACTTGTATCTTATGTTTATAGCATATATGCATATTAAACATCCCACCTTAAAAATTATCTGTAATACAACAGCATGTTATCAGTTACTGAGAAGTAATTAGTATATAGTTGTATTGTATATTTTCTACCATTAGTAAATATTAGAACTAGAAGTTGACAACCAAATTCCAAGAGCTCAAGTTTTGGAGCATTAAATTATAGATTTTTATCAATTTAAGGCTATCTTTAGCATTTGTATTACATACATTCCCAGTGTCTTTCCAAGCAACCACAGATCCTGCGCAATATTAAAAAATTTGTACTACGAAATTTTTCAAACATCAAATCTGTATTTATCTTGTCTATTGCTACAGTGATGTTGGAAACTTTGATAATTGAGGACTGCGACGAATTACAGCACATAATAATACACATTGGTGACAGTAATTTGAGTTATGTGTTTCCAAAAGTGAAAGTTATCTATGTGAAAAGTTGTAGGCAATTGGAATATATATTCGGAAGTTGCGATGATAATCAGAATTATAATAAGATAAATGTTGATCTTCCTGTCTTGGAAAGTCTCTGTTTACATGGTCTACCATGTTTAATCAGAATTTGCTCGAAAAACTATTCCACAACATTGCCACCTTTGAAGGAGTTTGAACTCTTTGGATGTTCTCAGGTTAGCATTAAATCTATTAAGGTAACCTTCCTCCCATTTATCTTTGAATTGATCATTGATTTTAATCCAAATATTATAATGGTAAATATTCAGTTTTTTTTAATAAATACTAACATTATAACATCATTTAATGTTGTTTTAACATTATAATTATTTTATACATAAATACCTAAAAACTTATACTTTAGAACTTATGGTTGAAAAGTTAGGAAACCTATGACTATAAGTAGTTTGTTAAATTAGAACGGTTCGGTAAAATTAACTAAAATATATTCAACGACTAGAAAATATATTTAGTATTATAAATATAATATTAAACTTAAATGAGGAGATAAAATTCATTTAAAAATTAATAATTATAAATATATTTCATTTAAAAGGATAAGAGTAAAAATGAGATAAAACTATTGGCCTAATTGTTATTTCAACGGGCTTTTCAATCGTTAATTGTAAAAATTATAATTTTTATTTTATTTTGCGGTTATCAAACAGTTTTACTAACTTAATACAATGATTGAATTGGAGAATACACATCTTTGGGTGCAGAGTTGTCCAAAACTCTCTTTCACTTCAACGCTAGAGTCCGATCAGTTGGAGAGAGCAGTTTTAGAGAATATTTGTAGAGGTATACATTGTATTTTCAATTTTATTGGTTTAAAATTGAAAAATGATTTTATTTTGTTAATCTTTAATATTTTGTTACAAATATTGTGGAAGGTTATTATTCTTGAGAAATAATAAAAGACATTGCTCAAGATCTTCTATACTCAATAATCCAAGATCCTAGCAATGAATGTCAAACAACAAAAATCACTGAAGACATTCAAGGTGAGCTGGAAGTCCAAGCAACATCACAAAGTGAATTGGCTTCTTCAGAAGTCAATACGAATCAATCCATTGCAGAGATAAAGCATGAAATTGTTGAAGAAGATTCGAGTTTAAAGATACCATCGGCAACAACATCACCAATTAAATGGCATGAGCACATTCAGATGTAAGTATACTATTAAGGTATTCTTAGTATGGGAGAAAACTAATAGCTCAAGACTACTGCTTCTGCACTCATTTGTTGTTGGATGAACTATCAACAGGAGAACCGTGCTTGATGATCTAAAACCAGGCCATTGGACTAATTGAAACCACCTTGAAAATTTCTCAAGGAAATAATGTAACCACCCAAATATGCATAAAATGCTCTAAAACTTCACAGAAAATGAACAGTACTCCTAATACCTCTTAGGAATATAATGCAACTTATTCACATTTTTTTGTTGCAGTGTCCCAAAGAAAAAACAGGACCAAAGTAATCAAGAGGATTGTGTATCAAAGCAAATTATTACAACAACTTTATCCATGGATTCAGAAAAAGGGAAAACATCACCCAGACAATTGCTTTCTCTTATACAAGAGGCATTCCCCTGTTAACCTTTTTAACTCTTATCAGCATAAGATTATAAGTATGCTCCAAACCTTAATATATAATTTTTTACATGCAGGATATTTTGAGAAATTTTGAAGTAGGAACAACATCAGCCAATGCCGTGATAGTAGCATTGCCTCACTATGGGAGAACATTCTTCGATGAACAACCAATGGAAGAACATACTTCAATGAAAGAACAACAGGCACTTGGAGAAACTGATATTATTTTTGAAGTTTTTCAAGGAAATAATGGAATGCCACCACCTAACTATGTACATGATGCTAAAAAAACTTGACAGGAAATAAAAAGTACTGAAAATATTTTTTCTTAGAAATATATTGTAACTTATTTACATTTTTTTAGGTATACAGTGTTTGAAAGACAGACAGAACCAAAGTACTCAAGAAGGTTCTATGTCGGGGAAAAATACAACAGCAACTCTACTGACGAAGTCAGAAATAAGGAACACATCACAAGGACCATTACTATCTCTCCCTTACAAAAAGTATTTCCCTGTCTATGTTCAATATAAGAGTGAAAGAATGCTCTGAATTTAAACACTTTTATGATTATGTGAAGGGTATTAAGAGAAATGTTGAAGGAGGAAATGCATCAGCGAATTTCGAGTCAATAACGTCATCAACTCGTTCAGAACTAGTTAGTTCATCATTAGGTCCATCAGTTGCTTCTAAGGGTGAAACATGTCCACATGTAAGTTTACTGTATTTAGTCAAGCTTTCAAATGTTTTTGTGTGCTTAAAAGTAATATTTTAATGTTCCTAATTCATTAATTTCAATGAAAATGAGGATGAACATTATGTACAAATGAATATAATGAGGATGACTTTGTAAAGATAAAACTTTTTAGATGATGTCATTTGTTTATTTGAATCCTTGTAGGAACATGGGGATGGCCAAATGGCCATACCATCTGTTTTAGTTGTGCCTCCCTCTGCTCAAGAAACTTCAGAGATAGCGCTTGCCCTCACTAACTCTCATGGTCCAGGTCTTCACTCATGCATCCACTTTCTTTTTTTATGTTACCACATTTGTGCTTTGATTTTGAACTCTTTTCCCCCCACCTTCTGTTTAGTTCCTTTGAATGGTGATGCTTCCATGAAAGTAAGCTCAATTGTTGAGGAACTGTTTCTTAACAATGATGGCATAGGAGTTTCAGATTCTAAGCCCTTTCCTGGCATCTCTTCCCAAGTTGTACCCAAGTCTCTTTCAATGCCATTTGAAGGAACTTTTGCCCCTTTTATTTTGCTAAATTTTTTATAGAAAGTATAGTTTTAGTACCTGTAAATATGATTAAATTTAGCTTAGTCTCTTAAAAATTGTTGATTTTAGTCTCGTAAATTTAAAAACTTTTAAAAATAGTCTTGGATACTAATGTGTCATGCCTTTAAGCTTATTATAAGAATAGTTGTTGATATGAAATGATTAGAAATATGTCATGTTATCATAAAGTAGTGAAAACGATCATTTTTAAAAATTAAAATTTATGAAAACCAAAACCAACAGTTTTTTAAAAAGCACGGGAATTAAATTTCATCATATTTATAAAAACTAAAAATATTGAGTGTTTTTTTGTGTGGTCATGCTTAATTACTCTTTGATTCACTTTTAAGAGCCCTTCTCAAACCATGGATGATGTGAGTTTTGGTTCTCTCGTCAAAAGTGAACTTGAGCAACTGGTCTCCAATGGCTTCTGAGAGCATGACTCTATTGACTGAATTTTTGGCAAAGCATCCTTCTCTTCGTTTAAAAGACACTGCACTTAGTAACAAATACAAGGGTTATGTTATGCCTACACTTGCCTGACTGAGCTACTGAAATTCCTCCAAACACACAGTGTTTTGGATGTGTTAGGGTCAAAGCACTTCAACTTTATGGAGTTAATGCGAGATACAAGAAGTTTTAGTTTTGATAAGACTTGGTTAGATGGTATTCAGAGACGTGCCTTGTTTCCTAGTTTACAAGTATATGAAGAGGCATTGCAAAAATTATTGGACTCAAAACGCATTTTGACTCAGCATGTGAAGGATCTTAAGCATCAAGTGGCATCTTCTGAAGCTGTTTTGGAGAGTATAATTCCACACGAGGCACAAGTAATGGAAGCTAGGGCTTCTTTGAGTGCCCCTCTTGGCTATTGGACTGTATTTTTTCTTGTATTTCTCCATTGCTACATTTTGCCTTAGAACTTTGAATATTTCTTAGGTAGTTCATTCCTCGTATGAAATGGACTAAACCATGTATTTTACATGTATTTTAAAATATCAGAGTTTCATGTGTTACATACGATGAAGTTTTGATTTCTGCTAAATAATATTAACTATTTTTCTATTTGACAGTAATTATGAAGTTACTTGTTTGCTTTAATTTCCAAGGTGAGAAAAATTCATATCATTGAGATGATTTTTATAAGAATTCATACAAAGGGCCGGGCTTAGCCTAAAGTACTTGTTGTAGGCCCCAAAAAAATCAATATTAATATTTTATTTTCATACAACTAAATAAAGAAATTATTAATTAGTTAATTTGTTTCTTAATTAAAAATAAGTTTCTCCTCTTATCATTTTCTCTTTCAATTAGCAAATATTTTTATTTATATTTTTACGTAGTCTTAATCAAAATATACATTTTATTATTAAATATTTTAAATGAAAATTGTCTTTTTTTTTTAACATATGATTAATAAAAACATCTCAATATTTATGAAAATAAATTTAAATTTACTTAATAATAACATCAATCTTGTATAAAGTATTTATTTTAAAAATTAAAAATTTTAATTGAGTTTTAATAAGTATAAAAAGATACACTAACCGACATCCTATTTTATGTAAGAAAGAAAACTTGATTCTTTGGTAAATGCATACAGATGCATTTAAGTAAATTGTTAAATTAAGTATCTATTTAATAAATTTTTAAATATAAAAATTTTTGTCGTAAATTTTATCATAAAATTTATTTTATAAATTATTCTTTTAAAAAATTATCATTTTAAATGTGCTGATCACGATGCGCACAAATTACACTTTATCGGTAAGGAATAATAAACGAACTCAAAACTATCAACTTTAAGAATTTGGTAAATTATATATTTTTTTATTCAACATTAATAATGAAAAAATATATCTATAAATATATATATTATTAAAATATAGTCTTTTGAGAAAATTACAAAAATATAAAAAAATAATTTTATATATTGAAATAAAAGTAAAATCTACCGAGTCTGAATACATGTAGTATGCTCCAAATGTAGTAAATTTAATTTTATATATAAAAATTTGCAAAAATTTTATTTGTTTGTTAGTCTTTAAAAATATCTTCTAATTATTATTATTAAATAGTTTTTTAATTTAAATTTTAAAAATAAAATATTATCTCAAAACATCTATTCTAAGTTTTTCCTTTTTTCTTTGATTATTAAAAAAAAATTATTAACAAAATTGATGTAAGAGTATAAATGAAAATAGGTCAGGTATTTATTGTAACACTCCAAATTTTTCTTATTTCATAAATAATTTTGTAATATGTTAACCTCATTTAATTAAAAGTAAGTAGTACAAAAAGACTTGATAACTAGAATTTTTCTTTAGTAAAATTTATCGAAACAAGTTCGATCGATAAATAATTAAGTAATATAAAAAGGAAATAAAAAATTTTATTTAACATTTTAGAATATCTAAAATATTTTTATGAATTATAAGAAATGTAGGAAGATCCAAAAATGGAAAATAAATAAAATTCAAAAAATTAACTAAAATGACCAAAATACCCCTAGAAACACCTAGAATGGAGGCTCATTTTGGACAAGCAAATGAAGGAGATAAATTATGAAATTTTTATGATAGATGGCCCATGTGTAGAGGTCATGGACGTGCAAGTTTGGAGCCAAAAGAGCAAGTATAGAAATTACCCAAAAATCACCCAAAAAGAGGCCCAAAAACTAAGTGTATATGAAAGAAAGTGGGCTAAGAATACTAGTAAGGAGCCATGTGATCCTTTAGAGCCATGTGAGACTAATCATGATTAAGAGATAAGGTCATTTATGGTTTAATCCCAATTGGATAAGCATATTCCATAAGAACCAATGAAATTAATCCAAAACAACAAGATAAGTATTCTAGAAGATAAGGCTAATGATGAATAACTTGTACTAATCCTCATCCAATGGATCTAATTGGAACATGACCATGGCCATTGGATTTGAACTAAATAGGTTTCAAAAAGTAATTGGAATGGTTGAAATGGAACTAAAAAAGTTAAAATCTAACTAGAATTACAAAACTGTCGTGAAAGGGGCAATTTTGGACATTTACAAATGTGCACATGAGTAAACTTGTAGAAAAAGCCAAAAAGGAACCAAAATTGAAAATCAAGACTTGTGTGAGAGAGGGTGGAACCGTGAGATGCATGGGAGTGGGCCAACATGAAGAGATTTTCTATATAAAGCCATGTATAAAGGAGAAAAAGACCCTTCATTCTAATTTTCATGCAACAAAGAGCTCTTTATTTCTTCTTCATCTCTATTCTCTCTATACACATCTAAGTTCATCTCAAACAATTTACTTGAACCCCACAAGTTAGATCACCCAATACCCCACCATAAGGATCTTGAATCAAGCCTTTAACCCCACCAAAAACATCAAGATACCCCACTAGATCCACAAAGCCCCCAACTTTTTTTTTGTATACGATTTGGCACTTGAGGAAGTAGGAGGCCAAGGAAGGAGATACTCACTTCCAAGAGGTGAAATAAAGAAAAAGGAAGAGGAGAAGGATCACCCAAAGATCAAGGCTAGATCAAAAACACCAAGTAAGGGGGAGGGTATTTTTCATAATCAAGGGGAATACCTTGTTTAAATGATTTTGAGTCAAGGGGAGCCTTAACCCTTTTGGTTGTGATTGAAGTTGTGTGTTTTGATGAACCCATGATTAAAATTTTGATTGAGATAAATAAATGCATGGAAATTACTAAGAACCACAAAGTGTTGATGATGACTTTGCTTGTTATCTGGTTAGTTGTATGAAAATCTTGCATGTTTCATTTTATGACTTATTCTTATGATGATATCTAAGTTGGATTCATGATCTTCTTTTGATTGAAATTATTTTGGAGTCAAAATAAATTTCTAAAATATTTTTGAAAAAAGAAAATTTATGAAAGAAACTTCTAAAAGGAAATGGATTAAAAATGGAAAGTGACCATGATGAAGACTCTTGGACTTTTGGACATATTTGGACCTATGGACTACATGAACAAATGATGAGAACAAGCTTTAAAATAATAAATTTGAAAGATTGAACCTAAAAAAAATAGGAAGATACTATAGACTTGGACCAAGAATACCTTAGATATGCAAGATCCTTGTCCACATGTGTGGTAGGACCAAGAGAATAATTTGAACCATATTTGGACATGAATTAATGACCTTGAACACATGGAAGACATAATGGACAATTTGATGCTTACCAAATTGGAGACAAGGACCTTTTCTCAATTACTATAAAATATAAGGATTAAAGTGTAAATAATGTAAAATATGAGAAAATCTTTAGAAGTGTTTTTTTTTTAGTATTTTATTCATGAAGATAGTAAAATTTATATTATTTTCCTGCAGGCTTTATTTTATTTGGGTTTATATTTAATTAATTATGATTTTTATAAATTTCTGTTGCATGAAAATGGTATTCTGGAGCAGTATATCTTGACTTATTTTCGTCTCACTGTGTGTTTGGAGCGTTATTTTATTGACATTTTTCTACGAAAATATACTTCTCAATGGAAGTATACTCACTGGTTTCACTTGATTTGGAATTGAAATAAAATAGTTATGAATTATTGAATATTCGGTTATGTGTAAATGTTTTCTGAGAACTGCATACTTTAAATCATTTTCTTCTTATAATTCAAGTGTAATTGTATTTTATTTATATTTTTATTTTAAACTATAATTTATGAGGAAAATATGCACACTGAGTTTGATCAATTTGGAATTAAAATGAATTACTTATGATTTTCTCAAGGTGCTGTTGTATGAGGGTAACATTTTGTGCATGCTATTGAAAAATCTCCTTTCGTTTTAAAATGTATAAGTGGCGTTATTTTATTGTTATTTTTGTGTAAAAATAGAGACTATAATAGAAATATCCTCACTGGTTTGATGAATTTTGGACTTAAAATAAAATAGTTATGACTTTTCTAATTAGCTGATTCTGATAAGTGTGTTAGTGTGAGTAATAGAGAATGTTTAGGGCTTAATCTGGAATCTGGAAGTTATAAATTTTTAATGATATTTTTCCGTGAAACTAGATAAACAAATTAAAAGTATGCCACTAATTTCATGAGTTTTGGTGATGAATTGAATGATTTATGATTTTTCCAATATGCTGTTGTTAAATTGTGCTATTCTATGACATGTACTGAGAAATTAAAGCACGAATTGATGTCTGGGAATATTTTTATTTTGGAAGTATTTTTACATGAACATAGACATGTTAATGGAAATAATCTCACTGGCGTCATGTGTTTTAGATGAGAATTGAATTTATTATGAATTTTACAATATGCTAGCTGTTTAGTGAAATGATCTGAGAACATTAGAGGTAAGCTGAGACTTGATTAATTCTTTGGAAGCTTTTGTATTTTGGCTGAAATTTTATATTACAGTAGACATTTAAAGGAAGAAAACCTTAGTGATTTCATGATGTTTGGACTCGTATCGAATTAATTATGAATTTTACAAGTTAGTTCATGAAATCTGAAAAATTTTGATTGTTAGCCATGTCCATGTAATTGATTGTTCTCTTAAAATAGAAATGTTATAATGTGCCTGTTGGACAATCATTGGCTATGATATTATTTGTGTTTATGTTTGTGAAAGAGGTTGAATACGCCACGCCACGGTACAGGTGAAGAGCAAATAGTGTTGGTATTTACCATAGGGGATAGGAGAGTGCCCAAGACTTACAGGGGACCAAGTCTAGCTAACTTGTGTCGTAGGTAGTGAAAACTTTGCTAGCCTATCCTGACAGGCACTAGAGCATACCAAGATTGGTTTGAGTGTGGGCTGTTGGTAGTGATCATAAAATGAGAATTATGCACTTATGTTCTGTTTCCGATGAAGGGAGAAGATGTACCTATGACACTAACTGGATTGCAAACACAGAACTCCCAATCTCAACCTGAAATTAAAATGTTGGATAATTAAATTAATTATTTCATGGAGGACTCAAAAATAAAAGATACTAAATGATTATTGCTTAATGCTTGAATGTTATTTTGTTCATTTAAGCGAACATAATGTGTAATGCTTGGTATTGTTGATGTCTAATTGATGTTTTGTTCGTTTAAACATGAGTATTGTCTATTAAATTGTTTATGAATATTTGTACTCACCCCTATCTTTTTCTATAATGTGTCCAAAATGTATATGGATGCATAATGAATGAAGATGCACCAATTACTCCTGCGCGTACCATGACCTTTACTATGGGGATTGGAGAGTGGAGTTTCAATGACTCTAACCAGACCATCATATTTCAAGGCTTTATTATCTTAACTATATCTACTGTTAATAATCCCTATGTTAGTCCTACTATTATACAGGGAGAAGCTAGAGTGGAGGTCCCTTTTCCTCTCTGCCATGCAGCTGCATACCTTGGCATTGATCTCGACCCTCCTCCAGGAAGATTGGATGAATAAGGAAGTAGTCAAGAGGAGAGGGAGAGTTTAGTTTATCTATGTATTATGTGCAGTATACTATCCTAGACTGTTATCCTTCCTTGTAATGTTCCATAGTTAAATAATTTTGAGAGTAATCCAGACGGTATGTAATATTATATTATGTACTCTAAATATTGTGTTTGAGGACATAAATATAATATGCATGTTGATGTGTATACATTTGAAATTGAGTAGTTATTAAACACTTTAATTTATTCCTTATTCACTACAAAAAATGGGATGACATTGAAAATACTTATTGAAAATAGGAACGTCTCATTTACAATATGGTCTTTTTAAAATTTAGCTTAACCTAATCTATTTAATTAATATTTAATTTAAGCTTTTTAAAAAATATAATTAATAAAATAGGTTAGGCTTAAACTTAAGAAAAGGTCTATTAAGCCTATTAGAACTGTCCATTTAAAATTTATAATAATATATTAAATAATTTTATATAAAAATAATAATATAATAATATATTAAATTAATTAAATTTTAAAATAATAAAAACTTAAATTAAAAGTCTTAATCTTTTTTGTAAGAGTTAAAAAATTGTTTCTACTATGTATTTTCTAATAATTTATTTAGATATAAGTCTTATAAATTTTAAAAAGTATGCTAATTTAGATATATTATGTATATTTAAGTTCTTATTTTATTTTTTTTATAAATTTTTAGTTTCAAATAAAATATAATTTATATTAAATTTATTTAATAATAAATTATTATATTTATTATATTTAAATAAGCTAGAAAATGGTTAAATTTTTATATAGGAATAAAATGCAATCAAAATTAAACTAACTAAAATTTAAAAAAGAAATAATAATCTTATATTAATATATTTCCATATTTTGAATTTCATTATTATTAAAATTTAATATTTAATTATTGTATTAATATATTATATTATAATTATTTTTTATTTATAATAAATAAAAATTACTTAAATATAAATTATTTTATTTGAAAAAATAAAAAAATTTATACTAAAAATTTATAAAAATGATAAAAAAAATAAAATAAGAAATTGAATATAATATATATATATATAATAAAATTATATAAAATATAATATAAATAATATAACTTTAAATAAATTATATATAATAATTTTTTTTGAGTTGACATGTGTCTTTTTTTATCAGTTTAAATTTTGTAGGCATGATAACCATAAAAAAATATTTAAGGTACTCTAGAATTTACAAAAAAAAATAATAATTGCATGGTAGGTGAGTTAATGAATGTTAGGTTGGGCCATAAAAAATGAGAGATAAATGCATGGTACGTTGTTATGATAGGTGCGTTAAAAGCATGGTAGGTTTGTATACCAAATAAAATAAATGCACGATAAGTGGTAGATGCGATACTGAAGATGTGGGCAAGGCTTCCTTCCAGATTTTAAGAGCTGAACTGTGGATCAAAATGTTCGAGCAAAGTGATCAAAATTGATGCTCAAAGTTCCCAAAATAGGGTAAGAAGAATTATGTAGTTGCCTTTAGTTCTATGAATTTGCAATTTAATTTCCATCTCCAATTACACGCATCGTCATTTGAAAGCAATGAAAACGCATATGGAACGATGACTCTGCAGAATTTATTTGCTTTCCTTATTTTCTGAATCCACTTACTAAGGTTCTGCTTCCTACTTTGTCTCTGATTTTTCATCATCTTCTGTTCCAAACTTATCTGGCTCAAAATTGATATAAATCAAACGCACACTGTATGCATCTGTTTAAAAAGAGATGTTTTTCATAAAATATATATGGTTTTGTTCCATGTTTAAATATGAACAAGAGTTTCCTGCAGATTCATTTTTTCAAGTTTTAAAATAAAAATATCTTAAATGTTTCTTCAGTGTTTTTGCATTTCAACATAGAGTGGATTTTTCGTCTTAAAATATTGGTTTATAATATTTAAACATTTCAACTGAAATTTGAGTCAGAGTATATTATCAGACTATTACATATATTAGTGATAGTAATATAATAATGAAAGAGATTTATTTATTTTAAGAGTAAGTTTTGATTATTTATTTTATCTGATAACTTTTTATAAACATCAAATTTTATTAATTTATTCATTAAATTATATAATATTACTTTTATTATCATACATGTCAAATTTTAGATAATTTAAACATTCACATGTATGTAATTTTATAGTTGACATTTATTTATATTTTAAAAAATATTTTTATTAAAATAGAGTTATTTGATAAAATATCAATAAAATTTTATAAAGGTATTTGATTTTTTATTAAAATTTAATAAACCGATGGTTAGATTAATGAAACAGGAAAAAAAGAGTTAATTGATTATTGCTTGTTCATTATATTAACAAAAATAACTTAAAATTAATTGGCATTGCAGGGAGAAAAGGTGCATGCGATTTGAATAGAAGATAAATGTGTTCAGATGCATGGAGACGAAGGACGGTGCATAATATGAAATAGGATAATACAAACCCTTTGGCAACGATTCTTGCTCATAATTCAAATATCAATGTGAGTGTATTTCTTGAATACAAACCCTTTGCTCTGTGCTTGTGATTGATGCCTATTTGTTGGATGCAATTGCATTATCTTCTTTATTTTTGGTTCTCAGATGAATAATAACTGAGTATAAGATGTATTACTCACAACTTCAAATCTAGTGCTCCATTGAGACTCCAAAATCTTCATCAACTAAATATTATGTGTGTTAAAATTATGAGCGAACTTTTAAGAATAAGTTAAGGTTGATTTTCTAATAGCTTAAAATTAACTGAAATTGCAGGGAAGGAGGGTGCATTGGATTCACATAGAAGAGAAATATCCAGATGCATGGAGATCGACGAAGAAGGACTCTGCATAGTTTAAAATGGAAGAAAAATATTGGTTATTGGTTTATTGAACATAATTCAAATATCAATATAAATGTATTTCTTCAACTCCTCAATTTTCTACGTCCACTTTCTCAGGATTGCTTGCCGCCTCTAATTTTTCACCATCTTCTGATGCAGAATCAAACTAGTTTTTTCTTTATCGGTTTTATTAGAATTAATTTTAACGGTTAATTTTAAATATTTAAATTACTATTTATTGAAAAATTATTTTAATAATTTTAATATAATAAATTTTTTTTCGTAAAAAACTTATTACTTTAATTACTACTTGAAATCAATTATGATAATTGAAATAATAAAAAATGAGAAAAATTACACTTTCAGATTTTCAGAGTTTCCTAATATCAAAAATTAATTTCAAATTTATAAAAAGTGAGGTCTAATATTTGAAATCATAATATGAATAAGTTCTCTAAAAAATCAATTAAAAAATTAACATATATATTGCCTTCACGCAGAATGTCTAAAAGTGATTTGTCAATTTTTTCTCAATCATTTTTTTTATATCTCAAATGTAATTAATATACTTTAAAAAAGTAGATTAATTTTTATCACAAAGTTGCATGTCTCAAAATAACGTTGCATGTCTCAAAATAAAATAAAGCTCTCGCATAGAGAGCAAATACGTGTTGATGGAATATAATAAAATATTCATATTGTCTTAACCTCTTAAAAGAAATTGAAATTAAAAGGAACACTAATTGAAACAGACAAAAAAAGTTAAGTGATTTTTGCTTGTTAATTATATTAACAAAAATAACTTAAAATTAACTAATATTGCAGGGAAAGAAGGTGGATGTGGTTCACTCAGAAGAGAAGTGTTGAGATGCATGGACAGGCGAAAGAACGAGCATAGTTAAACCAGAAGAAATAACATAATACAAGTGCATAATTCAAATTTGAGTGCAAGTGTATTTCTTGAACTCATCTATTTTTCTAACTTTCTAAGGCCTTGCTTGTCATTTCAGCTTCTAATTCATCATATTCTCATATAAACTTATATTGATTAATGGTTAATTTTAAATATGTAAAATTAGTAAGTTTTTATTATTATTATGGTTATACTTGTTTAGGATGGTATCTTGGGAGAGCTTGAGCAACCTTTTAGATCTTTTTATTTAAATTTTTATTTTTAAAATATAAGTTGTCTTTCTTAAATTTTTCATGAAGAACTGTTCTGATAACTAATTTTCATACTGTACTTTGCTGGTATATTATTTTCAATGAGTAACGTGTTATCCACAAGTATCATCACAAAATAATTACGCTTATACTAAACCTCTTATAGACACAGTTTTTCTTCACATCTATAAAAAGGAGAGTTAAAGAGAAGATTTCATGAGTGTAATTTTGAGTTTAAACATTAGAAATTTAGATATACTTTATAATACAATTATTGCAGGAGAAAGTCTTACTGAAATTTCTTATATTTTAATTATTATTTGGTAAAAAAAATTATTTAATCATTTTTCACATTTATTTCACATATGTTTCTGCTCACATTCATTAAGTTATTCACACACTTTAGGTATATTTAACTATGATTTACTAACATTTTTATCAAGTTTAAAATATACATAGTTTTGTCCCATGTTTAAAACATTTAAATATAAAATAATAACCTTTAAACATGAAGTTTTCTGTTGTCGAAGAAGAATTTCATGCAGATTTATTTTCTTTAGTTTTTGAATAAAAATATTTTAAATGTTTCTTAAGTATTAATTGTTGCATTTAAACATAGAGTTTATTTTTTTATCTTAAAATATTAGTTTATAATAATTAAATATTTCAACTGAAAATTGATTCAGAGTATATTATCAAACCTTACATATATATTAGTAGTGATAGTAATATAACAATGAAAGAGGTTTGTATATTTTAAGAGTAAGTTTTGATTATTTATATTAACAAAATATCTTTAAATTAATTGGTATTGCAGAGAGAAAAGGTACATGTGGTTTGCATAGAAGATAAATGTGTTCAGATACAAAGAGACGAAGGACAGCGCATAATATAAACTAGGGGAAATAGCATAATACAAATACTTTGGCAAAAATTCTTGCTGATATTTTCTTGAATATTAGTGCATAATTCAAATATCAATGTAAGTGTATTTCTTGAACCTACCTATTTTGCCAATTTTCTAAGTCCGCTTGTCACTTTTGTTTGTAATTCTTAACCATCTTTTGTTACAAACTTTTGTGTCCTCAAAAGTAGTTTTATTCTCCTATTCATTCTTTTTTTATTTGTGAGTATTTTACTCTATGATTGTGATTGGTGCCTATTTGTTAGATGCAATTGCATGATCTCTTTCATTTTGGTTCTCAGATGAATAATAACCGAGTATAAGATGTATTACTGCCAACTTCAGCATGATTCAAATGGAGTGATTAATAGATAACTTAGAAATTATTCAGCTTAAATTTTCCACTGCCAAATTTTATTACGTTTGTGAGGTGTAATATATTGTCTATTGTAATAATGATGAGACAAAGATTCAAACTTTGTTTATGTCTTGTAAAATATTCATCTCTTTTCCTTTATTTCTCTTCTGTTGACAGAGTCTTTATCATTAGATTTTTTTACTTTTTTATATATTTTCTGCATTACTGTTGACACTTAATTGAAATGGGAAAAAATCAAGTGCTTTTTGCTTGTTAAATAATATTAACAAAACTTTCATTAAATTAACAGGTATTGAAGGGAAAGAAGATACATGTGATTCGCATCGAACAGAAGTGTTGAGGTGATAGAGATGAATAACTGTGCATAATTTCAACTAGGAGAAACAGCATAAGACAACCACTTTGGCAAAAAATCTAATGTTATTGGTTTCTTGAATATAAGTGCATAATTCAAATATCAATGTAAGTTTCTTTCTTGAACTTGTCTATTTTCCTAATTTTTTAAGTCCACTTTTTGAGACCTTTCTTGTCACTTCAGTTTTTAATTCTTCAATATAGGGTAAATATTCAACATCCCAAGTTAAACATTTTGAATTTGAATTCACACACAATCCTAAATATCATCTTTTCATAAGTATAAATATCATTATCATAATTATTCTTTAAATCCAACGATAAAAAATTATAATAAAGAATTAATAATTAATTTTGTTTCTAAGTTTCATTTTTAGTTACCATCACAATATTTTCTTTTTCTCTACTTTTTAGTTTTATGAACTTTCACTTATAAATTATTAATATTGCCTTTAATATAGATTATAATTTATTTTTTTATTTAGATATATTCTATATCTTTTTAAATATGCAATCAATAAAATCAATACATTAATAAAAACTGTCATCATAAATAAATTGTTAACTATTAATCAATAATCAATATAAGCTCTCCAACAAGTTTTTCTATTTCTACGGTTATAAATAAATTTTATATTCATCAATCAATGAATTTGAAAAAAAATAAAAAATTGAAATAAAAAAAATTATATTAATTCCCTCACAAACTCCAATAAAAATAAGGTGAGTTTGCATAATATTAGTGTATAAAATAAGGTCTTTTAAAAGCATGTCATTTTTAATTGTATTTTCTTCAAAACATCAAATTATATGAGATTCCTAATTTTTCAACGTGAATAATTAGTTTTATAAATATAAATTATGGAAATAGTGACAATTATGTGAATTAACGTAAATTTTGATTTACATATATATACATTATACAGACACATTATCCGATACTATTACAGGAAATTGTAAATTAATTTCGTGCCCTTTATTAACTTTTCTCTGTTGAATTTGGTTTAGATGGCAGACATTGGAGCTGATTTGGTAAAATCAATTTTAGACAGATTGATGGATTGCGCAATAGCAGAATCACGATACGTATGCTGCTTTTGGGACATTGTTGAAGACATTGAAAAGGAAAAGAAAGCTTTGGAAGAAAGTGTGAAAGAGGAAAAAAGAAAGGGAAACAATATTCGAACAGATGTCACTTCTTGGCTAAAAGAAACTGACCAACTCATTATAGACACTCAAATGAAAAAGACGTGTTTTTTTGGATGGTGTCCAGATTGCAAATGGAGATATAGTAAGGGAAAGCAACTGGCAAATAAGAAGGAGGAGTTGAAAAGTGGCAATGTTGGAATTTCCCCTGTACTTCCAGGTGTTGATTATCATTCTTCTCAAGATTATGTTTCTTTTGAGAGCAGAAAGTCGAAAATCGAAGAACTTTTGGATGCACTGAAAAATGACAGCAACTTTATAATTGGATTGCAAGGGATGGGGGGAACAGGTAAAACTACGTTGGCAAAAGAAGTGGGTAAGAAACTTAAGCAGCTACAGCAATTTGATCATGTCATTGATACTACAGTGTCATATACTCCTGACATAAGGAAGATTCAAGATGACATTGCTGCACCCTTAGGATTGGACTTCAAAGATAAAAATGAATCACAGAGATTCAGTTTTCTTTGGAATAGATTAACCAATGGTGAAAAAATTCTTTTGATATTGGATGATGTGTGGAATCCTATCGAATTTGATAAAATTGGAATTCCAAGGAAAGACAATCACAATGGTTGTAGAATCTTTTTAACCACACGTGATATGAAGGTTTGCCAATCAATGGAATGCGAAAAGATAATTCAATTGGGGGTTTTAACCGGGGAAGATGCATGGACCTTGTTCAAAAAGCATGCTCGTATAAGTGATAGTTCCTCTAAACGTTTGTTGGATAAGGGACGCGATATTACCAAAAAATGTGGGGGGTTACCAGTTGCAATAGCAGCCATTGCGGGCAGTTTAAAAGGTGAAGAAAGTGTGGAAGTGTGGAAATCAACTTTAAAATCCTTACAGCAGTCTGTGCCTATGCATGGTGTTGATGAAAGTTTGGTTGAAGTTTATAAATGTTTGAGGTATAGTTATGATAATTTGAAGAATGAAGAAGCCAAGAAACTATTCCTCTTATGTTCTATGTTTCCAGAAGATGAAGAACTTTCTAATGAAACTTTAACCACATTTGGCATTGGAGCAGGCCTTCTTGGGGAAGTGGATGGCAAATATGACGAAGCTCGAGACCAAGTCGCTGTTGCCATTAAAAAATTTGTAGATTCTTGTTTATTGTTGAAGGGCGGAAAGCAAAGTGTTAAAATGCATGACTTGGTTCGTGAAGTGGCCTTATGGATAGCTAACGAGGAAATTCAAGCAGTAAATGTGTCTAGCAAAATTCAGAAGTTATTGCTTGAGAGGAGGAAGAATATTAAATATTTGTTATGCGAAGGGAAGGGCATGGATGTATTTTCGTGTAAGTTTAATAGGTCCAAACTTGAGATTCTAAAAGTCGTCTACATGCATGAAGATGAAGATGAAGATGAAGATGAAGATGCTTATGTGGAAGTCCCAAATTCATTCTTTGAAAATATGACAGAACTTCGAGTTTTGCATTTGTCATTGAATACATGGAGAGATGTTTCTCTGTCATTACCTCAGTCATTCCAATCATTGACAAATATTCGATCTCTAATCCTTGAAAATTTACGCTTACGGGACTTCTCTGTTCTGAAATACTTACAAAATCTTGAGACTCTTGATTTGGTTTGGTGCCCTATGGATGAATTCCCAGGTGAAATTGCAAAACTGGAGAAACTTAGAGTGTTGAGGTTAAGAGAATGTATTGTTGAAAATTTTAATTCAATTAAAATGATTGAAAAGTGCTCATTACTTGAAGAATTGTACATTGTTAGTACGGATCTCACGTTTGATACTTCGGCAATGCATGAGAAAATAAACTTTCCTGCATTCCAAAGGTACATTATGAGTGACAATCGTACAGCAGTGGATGAATCGTTGTCAAAATGTGTGGCCTTTCCGAAGATTGATGCTATTTTCTCAGAAGTGACATTCAATCATTTGGTGCAAACATCCGAGCTTCTTCATCTGCAAAAAATCGAGGGGGAATGGAGAAATCTCATACCTAATATTGTTCCCATAGATAGAGGTATGAATGATCTAGTCGAGCTTTATTTGTCAGACAGTCCACAATTGCTGTGTCTCATTGACACTACACATATTGATTCTCAAAAACAAAGTTTCTTCTCCAAGTTAATTAAGATAGAACTCCATCGCATGGAAAATTTCGAAGAACTATGCAATGGTCCTTTTCCCTTTGACTTTCTAAACAATTTACAGGGGCTAGTAATCTCGGATTGTATAAATTTGAGAAGCATATTGTTTAAGAGCAAGCTAAACCTCTGCTATCTTAAGACCATTAAATTGTACAAATGCCCAAAATTGGTATCCCTGTTTCAATTGTCAACTTGTCAAAGTCTCTTGCTTTTGGAGAAACTGTCCGTAGAATATTGTGAGCAACTAAAAAACATTATAGCAGATGAAAGAGTAAATGGAGAATCCAAGGAAGAGATTGTTGATGGTGAGAATGATAACAAGAGTTATGGCTCAATGTTTCCAAATCTGAAAACTCTTTTAATTACGAGTTGTCCCCAATTGGAATATATACTTCCAACTCTTTCTACTCAAGTTGTTCCATTGCTAGAAACTATCATAACACGTGTTTGTGGTGAGCTGAAGTACATATTTCATCAATACCAACACGAACATGCAAGTCATCAAGAGGGAAATGATATCATACTTGGCTCACTGAAAGAGGTGCAGTTCTCTGGCTTGCCAAATTTCATTGATATTTTTCCAAAATGGTGTTGTTCCATTTGTTTGTCAGGGTCATCCTGTAAAAACAATTCCATGGAAAAAATAGAATCAAATCCCAACAAATGCAATATTTCTCCTTGGATCCATATGTGTTATCCTCGTAAATGCAGACGCAAAGTCAAGAGTACCAAAAGTACAGCACTTCCATTCGTTTCCAATGAACCATTGCAAGATAGTTCAAACTCATTGGTAACCCCTTTAACTTTGTGTGTTATCTTTTACGTACTTGTATCTTATGTTTATAGCATATATGCATATTAAACATCCCACCTTAAAAATTATCTTTAATACAACAGCATGTTATAAATTACTGCGAAGTAATTAGTATATAGTTGTATTGTATATTTTCTACCATTAGTAAATATTAGAACTAGAAGTTGACAACCAAATTCCAAGAGCTCAAAAGTTTTGGAGTATTAAATTATGGATTTTTATCAATTTAAGCCTATCTTTAGCATTTGTATAAGATAAAAGTTTTACATACATTCCCATTTCCTTGAGTTCCATGCAAAGAGTTAATGTTAGATTTGATTTAAGAACTTGTTTTTGGTATTGCATTTTAGGTGTCAAACTTTGACTATCTTCGTCTTTGGCAACGTGCTCAATGTCTTTCCAAGCAACCACAGATCCTGCGCAATATTAAAAAGATTGAACTACGACAATTTTCAAAGATCAAATCTGTATTTATTTTGTCCATTGCTCCAATGATGTTGGAAACTTTGCGAATTGAGGATTGCGACGAATTACAGCACATAATAGTAGACATTACAGATGGTGACAATAATTTGAGTTATGTGTTTCCAAAATTGAAAAAGATCATTGTGAAAAGTTGTAGACAATTGGAATATCTATTCGGAAGTTGCGATGATCATCAGAATCATAAGATAAATGTTGATCTTCCTGTCTTGGAAAGTCTCTGTTTACGTGATCTGCCATGTTTAATTGGAATTTGCTCGAAAAACTATTCCACAACATTGCCGCCTTTGATGAAGTTTGTACTCAATGGATGTTCTCAGATTAGCATTAAATCTATTGGGGATTTCATCCTTTCTTTGAGTAACACATCTATTAAGGTACCCTTCCTCCCATTTATCGTTGAATTGATCATTGATTTTAATCCAATTATTATTATGGTAAATATTCTTTTTTTTTAAATAAATACTAACATTATAACATCATTTTAATCCAATTATTAATAAAATTATATATTTTTTTGTGGTTATTAAATAGTTTTACTAACTTAATTTTAAAAAAGTTAAAATAAGTTCGTAAATAAACTAAAAGCCCGTGTTATCCATCGTAACCAAAATTCAAAATAAGATATTATTTAAAAATGTTGTTACAAAGAAACTGTTAGTGATACTCTTATTTTCCTAGTCCTAATTTTAAATGTTATTTTGAAAATATTAATGGAATTTTGGTTTTTTAATCTGTGACTTTATTTATTCATTTATTTATTTATTTATTGCAGGAGTTGAGTGAGACCAAGCATCTTCTCTCTTTGGAAAATCTGTGGGTAGATGGCTCCAAAATTGAAAATATTTGTTGCTTCAATGAAATAATTGGGCAAGAAATAATCCTAGGGTGGGAAAACATTCGGTTGGAAGATCTGCCTCATATGACCTATCTTTTTGTAGGTCCTAGGAATTCTTTTATCCTCCAAAACCTTATGGAGCTAACTATTGCGCAATGTGAGAAATTAGAAGTAATCTTTACTGCTTCTATTTCAAGATGCTTACCACAGTTGGAAAGACTACTCATAAAAGAATGTAAAGAATTAAAGCAGATCATTGAAGAGAATGCAGAAAATCAGGAAATGTCTTTCCCAAAGCTAGGAGAGATAGTTGTCGAAAAATGCAACAAATTAACATATCTCTTTCCTTTCTCCACTTCTAAAGAGCTTCTTCAGCTAAGACTTCTGATAATAAAAGAAGCCTCTGAGTTAAAGGAAGTATTTAGATGCGAAGCTGATCAAAAAGTTCAGTTTCCACAGCTAAGACTTTTACTTTTTGTCAAACTACCAATCTTCAGCTTCAGCCAGGGGATTGAATTGGAGTATACAGATCTTTGGGTTCAGAGTTGTCCAAATCTCTCTTTGACTTCAACGATAGAGTCCCATCAGTTGGAGCGTAGAGTTTATCGCTCTGCAGGTATACATAGTATTTGTCTTTTATTTGCCCTAGCAGGTCTACATATTTATTTATTTATTCCTATGAATTATTCTCTAAAAATCTTTAATATTTTGTTACAAATATTGTCGAAGGTCGTTATTGGCACATACTAGAACACATTGTTCGAGATTTTGAAGAGTCAATAATCCAAGATCCTAGCAATGAATGTCAAACTACAAAAATCACTGAAGACATTCAAGGTGAGCTGGAAGTCCAAGCAACATCACAAAGTGAATTGGGTTCTTCAGAAGTCAATACGAATCAATCCATTGCAGAGATAAAGCATGAAATTGTTGAAGAAGATTCGAGTTTAAAGATACCTTCGGCAACTACATCACCAATTAAATGGCATGAAGCACATTCAGATGTAGGTATACTATTAAGGTATTCTTAGTATTGGAGAAAACTAATAGCTGAAGACTAATGCTTCTGCACTCATTTAGGTGATGTTGGATGAACAATCAACAGGAGAACCATGCTTGATGAACCAAAACCAGGCCATTGGACTAACTGATACCACCTTTAAAATTTCTCAAGGAAATAATGTAACCACCTAAATATGCATATAGTGCTCTAAAACTTCACATGAAATGAACAGTACTTTGAATACCTCTTAGTAATATACTACAACTTATTCACTTTTTTTTGGTATACAGTGTCTTAAAGAAATAGAGGACCAAAGTAATCAAGAGGATTCTTTATCAAAGCAAACTATTACAACAACTTCATTCATGGATTCAGAAAAAGGGAACACATCACCCAGACAATTGCTTCCTCCTATACAAGAGGCATTCCCTTGTTATCCTTTTTATCTCTATCAGCATCAGAATATAAATATGGTCCAAACCTTGATATATAATTTGTTACATGCAGGGTGTTGAGAGAAATTTTGAAGTAGGAACAACATCAACCAATGTCGTGATAGTAGCATCGCCTAACTATGGGAGAACATTCTTCAATGAAACACCAATGGAAGAACATTCCTCAATGAAAGAACAACAGCCCCTTGGAAAAACTGATATTGGTTTTGAAGTTCCTCAAGGAAATAATGTAATGCCACCACCTAACTATGTACATGATGCTAAAAAAACTTGACAGGAAATGCAAAGTACCTTAAATATTTTTCTTAGAAATATATTGTATCTTATTTACATTTTTCTTTTTTTTGTATACAGTGTTTGGAAGACAGAGAGAACCAAAGTACTCAAGAAGGTTCTATGTCAGGGAAAAATACAACAGCAACGCTACTGATGAAGTCAGAAATAAGGAACACATCACTCGGAACATTACTATCTCCTTTACAAAAAGTATTTTCCTGTTTATATTCAATATAAGAGTGAAAGAATGCTCTGAATTTAAACACTTTTATGATTATGTGAAGGCTATTAAGAGAAATGTTGAAGAAGGAAATACATCAGCGAATTTCAAGTCAATAACATCATCGACTCGTTCAGAACTAGGTCCATCAGTTGCTTCTAAGGGTGAAACATATCCACGTGTAAGTTTACTATATTTAGTCAAGCTTTCAAATGTGTTTGTGCGCTTAAAAGTAATATTGTAATGTTCCTAATTCATTAATTTCAATGAAAATGAGGATGAATATAATGTACTAATGAATATAATGAGGATGACTATGTAAAGATAAAACTTTTCAGATGATGCAACATTTGCTTATTTGAATCCTTGTAGGAACATGGAGATGGCCAAAAGGCCATACCATCTGTTTTAGTTGTGCCTTCCTCTGCTCAAGATACTTCAGAGATAGCGCTTGCCCTCACTAACTCTCATGATCCAGGTCTTCACTCATGCATCCACTTTCTCTTTTTATGTTATAACATTTGTGCTTTGATTTTGAACTCTTTCTCCCCCACCTTTCCTTTAGTTTTGTTTGAACTCTTTGATTAACTTTCAGGGAGCCAATACCAATTCCTTGGTTAATTGGTTCTAAACCAATTCTAGATTCCTAATTTCTTAGGTAAACAAGAAGATGATCAGCATTACGTTTAGAAATCACATAACCACACCATTCGAGACTCCTATTCCTAAATAATCCATAATGAGCTATTTAACTCAAATCTAAGAAAGGTTATAACTTCTCATTTATAAACTCCTTTTTATCAACTCTGAATTTTATGAAACAGCAAAACTTTAAGTTCAGAATTAAATAAGTTATATTCAGATTGCAATGGATTATATTCAATGTTCAGTTCATTGCTATGTGTAAAAGATTAAGTTCACACAAAGTAAAAGGATTGGAGAAATAAAACCTTATTTCCTATCAAAATCTCATAGAAAAGTAAGAAGGAAATAGACTAGACGACATCTGTGCGAAAAACCTAAAATTATGTGTCTCTCAAATGTAATAAAAGATGTTGTCTTTTGCAGAAAATTTTGTTTTTATATACTTTGTCAAGCTCGTGTCCCCACAATCAGCAATGCATGTGTCCACAATTGTGTCCTGCAGCAATTTAACTTTTTTTTAAAATTCAATTGCAATTTCTCTTCTAAATCTTTCAAAAATCAACTGCAAACCATTAATAACTGAACAATTCATTACATTCCCAGCAATAGCATCTTTCCATTGAATATAATTAATTTGCATTTACTTAGATTATTAATTCAATGAAATGTGCCATAAACCTTCAATTTACTACATGAGTCAAAGACTCATCATATTATTTCTAGCCTACTTACTCACCCTTTTGATTTTAACTCTTTTCTCATCCTCCTTTGGTGTAATTTCTTCAAATGTCGATACCTCTATCAAGCATGTTCAATTATTAAATAGCAATTTTTTATAGGATTTTCAGGAGCAGAAGGCCCTGCAATTTTAGAGGGAATTTCTTGTACCACTGCAGAGAAAGTCATTGCATGTCCAACTCTTGAAGAGATCACTGCTGCCGTATGTGTGGAAGGTTCAACTAAACCTGCAACTACTCAACCAATAGTGGAAGAAACGGGTTTAGTGCCTCCAGAAGTAACAAGTGAATCAACTTTTCTAGGGATGGATGAGATTAAGAAGCTGATCGAAGAAGACCCTCTTAGTGCACTTGAAAATCTTCTCACTGGGAAAGTCTCTATTACACAAATGCAAAGTTCTTCCATTGGAATTCTACTTCAAGATTTGAAGGTTTTATTAATGGACTCAAACCTCGAGCATCTTGTAATTCATCAAGAGTCTAGATCAAAACTGGTTTCTCTCTTGGAGCAGTTGAATCAACATCAAAGGATCTTATCTTCAGATGCCAAGGACTTTGTGAAGAACGTGGGGAACTTCTGCAATGACTACTTTGGCAAACACACAACTTCTCAACAAGTAATAAAGAAGCACAAACAACTTCTCCAATCTAAAGACGATCTTCTTAACAAGCTTTCAAGTGCAAAAAGCACGCAAGCACACATCGACAATAAAAGTTGCACAGCCAAGGTTCAAATAGATGAGCTTTCTTTGAAAATTGATGATCTTAGAAAACAAGTGGCAGATACGGAGCATCAAATAGATGCTTTGAAGTTAACAATGAAAATGTGTGATCTTGAAAAGGAGAAGTTGAAGGCTGAATGCACTCAATGGGCCCAACAGAGTGCACAATTACTTTCTGCACTCTATTCCTCAGAGATTGATGTCCAAGAAGTTCAACATGCCAACAATATGGCAAAAGAAGCCTTTGCAAATCTCAAATCATCTTTTCCTACCTTTTAAGTCATCATTTTGTAATCTTCTTTTTCTCGGCACTTGAACTTGCAACTTATTTAGTTTTCAATTTCAACTTTCTGAAGTGTTGGTGTATTAATTGTATGTCTTCTAATATTTGTCATCAATAAGGGGAAAAATGGTAGTAATGCACTTTTTTAACCAACGTGTGTGGTTAGTTGTTTTACTAATTAAGTATCCCCAAGTAAATGAGAAAAGAAAATTGAACAAAAGTAGACATTTTTGTTTTGGTACAACAGAATTTAGGATGATTTTTTGAACTGTTCAAGCTCCAACTGTGAGGATAAACTTTGGGAAGGTCATGGCTCTAATTACTAAAGAAAGTTTTTCTGTTTGTTAACATTCCATATCAGGTCTTATTTAACGTGTGTATTGTTTACTAAATAATTATATTCGTAGACTTGTCCTTGTCAATTTGAGTTGATGGGCACAAAAATTGTAGTAATTGGAAAGTGCTTGGTGGAACAGTTGAAGTGAAATTGATCGACTAAAAATAGATTATGAAATCATTAGATTTCTTAACCTTATCGAGGAATTGGTAGTTGAAATGGAAAGATAACAGGGAAGTGCTGACAATTGACATTCATATATGTTGCTTTTGTACTTCATTCATATATGAAGTGCTGACAATTTCTTTTATCTTTTGTTGTTGATAATTTCACTTTTGTACTATTGTTTGATAATTTATCAATTTAACTATTGTTATTTAAAATAAACAGTAAATTCAATTATCGATTATTGTTGATTTATAAAGCTTGAAAAAGTAAATGATATATTGCAAAGATTCTGTTCATTTCTTAATTTTTCAAAAGTTGAATCTGTAATCGTTACATAAATGTCATTTAATAAGTAGGTCATTAAAGTCAACTTAAAAAATGTTAATTCGAATCAACCCATCAACTCAGTAGATTAGTTCACGAGTTAACTCACCAAATTTTAAAATTAAAAATATATACAAAATCTAAAAAAATAAAAATTAAAAACACAAACACACAGATAATTATATATATATATATATATATATATATATATATATATAGTGTTTGAACATATTTTCTTTCAAATTTTATTAAATATATAGACCTAATTAATTTTTTAAAATAAATAAAAAATTTTCTAAATATAATTAAACTATTGATTTAGTCACTGAATTATTTAAAATTTATTATGAAATTCTTATATTAAATAGAACCCTAATAAAAATATCCATTTAAAAATTTAGACATTTAATTACAAACACTTAAACTATAAAAAGTTATTTTGCAATCTCTGAATAATTAACCTACACTATTATTTTGAATGAATATCACTTTTCAGGGCCTACTTTTTCTTTTAAGAATATTCGACTTGTTAGTATTATTTAATATTAAAATATTATTTTTTAAGAGAATTTTTAAAATTGTTAAAAGAATTTGTATTGTGTGAAATAGAAAAATTTATTTTATTGTATTTCATTAGATTCATATTTTTATTTTTTAACAATTAAGATAAAATAAAGTTTTGTGTGGGATATAAATACTTATTTTAATTATATTCAATTTTATGTTAAACAATAGGAATATAGACGGATTAAGAAACTTTGAAACATTGTATGATGATTGATTTTAATTTTAATTTAATTTTTCATCATTATATTCAATAATAAAGTATTTTACCATTTTACCTTAAATAACAATAACTCTTCGTGTATTCTTAAAATTAAGATAAAGATGAATTACAAGATACTGCTTAAATTAAGAATGTTGATTCAAAAGATAATGGTAAAGTTTATTTTTAAAAAATTTAAATTTTAGGGAACTAAAAAAATAAAAATTAAATACGTATTAAAAACTAATTACTAAGAAGTAGTCTCGTAATAAAGATTTTTTAATAATAGTGTTAAAACAATACTAAGAATAATTCTGATAAAAACATATATTAATTATTGATTAATACAGCTTGAAGAGGCAAATGACATATTGAAAAGATTTTGTCCATTTCTTAATTGTTGAAAAGTTAAACCTCTAATGGTTACCTAAATTTCATTTAACAAGTAAGCCATTCAAGTCAGAACTTAACAAATTGCTAATTCGAATCAACTCAGTAGATTAGCTCACGAGTTGACTCACCAAATTTTAAAATTAAAAATATACATCAAAAATTATAATTAAAAACAAACTTTGAAATAGAGATTAAAATAATAAAATATCATAATAAATTAGTTTGATTTCCTTAAATGTCTTAGTATTCTAGAGATATTGAGTTAATAAGACATAATAAAATATTAATTTATATTAAAACCAACGCATTAACAGAAATCAGTATATAAAAAAAAATGAAAAAACATTACAGAAAAAGAAAGTATTTATGCAAGTAAGGGCACACATATGAAAATTAGTACACACACATAAAAATTAAACTAGGCAAGAAATAAATCATGTTTTATATAAAACAAACTCTAAAAATATAATCAATTTTTCACATGTCAAAAATAGAAAAATGGGATTGTAAAAATATGTGATGAAGTCTCATTTTTTATTTATATATATAAATACAAACTCAGGCATGTGTATTTTGGTAAAAAAGAAACTAACAATTCATACATTGGGCCATGTAGATGCATTGAAATTAAACAAAAGTTGATTTTGGTGAAGGAAATTTAACATCCTAGATCCATGTTTTCTTCAAACTGAGCCACGAATGCTCTGTTATATATGTACCCATCATCATTGCAAGTTTAGGACAAAGTGAAGTTCATGTATGGGTAAATAATTATATAGCTCTAAGGTGATCATATTATATTAGATAACAGTATAGATGCAAGGAAGAAAAGGTGCATGGATAATCTGAACGAAGATAAATGGGTTCAGATGCAAGGAGATGAAGGACAGTGCATAATATGAAATTGGGGAAGTAGCATATACACTGCAAACCCTTTGGCAACGATTTGAGGTCTTGCTTGTCGCTTCAATTTTTAATTCTTCACCATCTTCTGATACAAACCTATATTGATCAAAGTTGTTTTTCATTTATTTTTTTTATCGGTTTTATTAATAATCTCAACCGATAATTGTAAATATTTGAAATTAGTAACTTTTTATTAAAAAAATTATTTCTTAAACTTTTATAATTTTAATATAATAAACCAGAATACATCTCCTTAGTTTCTTAACACAAAATATGAGAGATCCTAAATAAGACTCCATATCTATTTGAGAATTTAATACCATTTTGTTGATTGAATTAGATCTTGTTTTTAAAGCAAATATTAGAGGAATAAATAACAAATTTATCTTTATTAATACAATGGTTAAAAGTATCATTAAAAATTCAAATTATCAACTGATTAAGTGAGACCTTAACAACTAGAATAAGTTATCAACATAAAATAAAGAAGATAATTTAGGCTCCTTCTATTAAAAAAAAAAAAAGCCTTCACTCACTGATATGTAGTTAATGTTAGATACAATGAGCCATTCTTTCTATACAAATTACAAATATATAATGAAATAAATTGTCTCATTTTCTAATACTCCTAAATGGAATAAACTGATCAGAGTGTTCTCCATATCAATTAATTAACATGTAAGAAATAAAAAAATTTCAATGAATTAGTACATTATTCATACCTTATCTATCTGAAGTTTGAAAAAATTTCTCTTTTTATTTTCTCTGTCATTTTCTTTGTATTTTTGTATTCCCTTTTAATATGTTTTAATTAACTTTTTAAAAAAATGGTTTGCTTTTGCCTTACTTTTAAAAGTATTGTAATCCTTTATTGCTGCTAGATTCTTTTTTCGAGTTCTAAATTTTCTTTTTTTTTTTCTATGGTAAATTTTTTAACGACATTATTTTGATATTTTTAGTAAATAAAATTATTCAAAAGACTTAGAAGGTTCTTTCTTAATAAATTTATAATTATCAACACTATTCTTTAAATATGACAATAGAAAGTTATAACTGCAAAAATAATTATTAATTTTTGTAAGTGTCATTTTTTAGTTACTACTACCATCTTTCCTTTTTCTCAGTTTGTATTTTTATGAAATTTCATTTAGAAAATACTGATATAGCCTTTATTATATATTATAATTTAATTTTTATTTGAATACATTCTATATTTTACTAAATATGAAATAAACACATTAATAATAACTGTCACTTTGAAAAAAAATATTAACTATCAATCAATACAAATTTTCAAACATATTTTTCTATTTCTACAATTATAAATAAATTTATAAATTGATAAATCATAAAAATTTATATGATAATTTAAACCATGAATAAATGAAAAGATAATTTAAAATTTATATGATAATCATAAAAAGTAGTCAAAAAATTATTCTGTATTTATAACTATACATTCTTATATTATTGAAAGATCTGTTATAAAGTCAACAAAATCATTCCAATACATTTTCATAATTATAAAACCGCATTTATTTTTTTCACCCATTTTTTTCTTGTTTTTAGTATGAAGTCATTTTATCTTATAGTTTGTTTTCTTTGTTCCACATTTGATTCTATGAATTAATACAACACTGATAATTTTTTACTCACATATTTACATGTTAACATAAGATTGTTTTTACTTTATATTGCAAAAATCAGTACCTTATAGTTTATAAAGGGGCCATAATATTATTGTATAAAATAAGGCTTTTTATACTCATGTCATCTTTAATCATATTTTCTTCTTCCAAACATCAAATTATATGATATCTCTAGTTTTTTTAAATGTAAATATTTAATTTTCCAAATATAAATCAAGGTAATTGTGACAATTATGTTAATTAAGGTAAATTTTAATATATAGTATACATTATAGGAGATTATAAATTAATTTCGTGCCATTTGTTATTTTTATTTGAATATATCCTATATTTTAGTACTTATGAAATCAATACATTAATAATATGCTATCACTTTATATTGCAAAAATCAATACCTTTTAGTTATAAAGGGCCCAAAATATTATTGTATAAAATAAGGTCTTTTAAAAGCAT